GGGGGGGGGTTCCTTATATAATATATTAAAATGTATGTGAATGTATATAAAAAGCAGGAACACAATACATAGATTCTGTTTTGCAGAAAACTTTCCATAGCCAAGCTAAAAGATAATATCATTCATAACACATAAGTTCTACAGTGGAACTTACATTTGTAAAGAAAACAATATTTGTAGCTTATAAGGTACCTTACTTTAACCCAGAATGGCTAATGTTGCCATCTGATTACATTTTCCACAATCAAGATATCATTTACGAGTATAACATACAAGTCTTACAGTGAAACTTGTATCTGTAGAGCAAACGAATATCTGCATCTTAAACGGTACCATACCTTAACCCACAATGGCTGATGTTGCCATCTGATTCACTCCACAAGTACCATCACCACGATACACACGATAATAGCCCTGTGACAAGGAATGTATGAACAGTGTATAAGACATTGAGTCAATATATATCTGCAACTTCTTTATTAACCATCACGGTTAATAAAGAAGTTGTATATTGTAACACAACAGGATGCATGAAATTGAAAAATAATATATATCTGGCAATCAATTTTGTTGTTTCTAAGTCATCTCAAGATTTACGAAAAGGATCAATTTTATTTCCAAGTAACACATTTCATAATTAAAAATCCATTAATTTTAAAAGGTCCAAATTTATATGATGTAATTATTATGGTATAAACATATAACTTTAATAACAATAATGCAGGTGTGTATGAGAAGTATTTATCCAAAAACCAAAAATAATCAATTAGAACAAGCAAGCAGACAACTGGAATTCCATGCTCTGTATCCATAAATTTTTCATTCATATACTAAAAACATGCAAGTCATAAATATTTTAAATAACTGCACATTTCATAGAGTGGTAATATCATCCAACTTCTTACAAAACAACTATTCATTATAAAAGTTTAATTAATTCCAATCAGTGTGACTGATGAAGTTTTTTCCTTTTTAAATCTTTTATCCTTTACGTGTTTCGGTCTTATAAACCATCTTCAGAAGGATACCAATACAATTAGAAACCACTATTACAATATGTTTTGTGAATGTCAATATATACATACAATGTTATCATGATACAATGAGTACAAATCTAATGTTTTAACAACTACAGCGGCTTGTGCTAATACGTTAAAATATTTATAAATTACAATTAGTATGTTTAAAATGATTTTGTTAAATTTTTTTTAACCAAGTTGGTTCGTGTCCTTTTTATTTCTTGTCTTTGAAGTAAGCCAAGCGTGTACCACCTTGTGGTTCTGTTGTTTGCAGAAGGGGATTCTTTAGTGTCATCCTGTTGATATTTGAGGCGCGCTGTGTTGTCCAGTCACACTGGATGGAATTAATTAAACTTTTATAATACTGTTAGTGTGACAGACCAGGATGAAACAAATCAACTAGTTCACTTTCACTTGCTGTTATGAAGCATCATTAACCCCCTGAATTCTTCATATGGCATCTACTGGCCCTTGCAGGTACAAATACATAGTACAAGTAACACTTATGCCATCGTTTTCTCACATTTTGATATTATTTGGTATATATGAATAAATGAAATGCATTCTTTGGTTAAAAAAAGAACAAAGACGAGCACAAACCTGCCATCTGCTAATGACAAGATTAAATACAAGCACAATCTACATACAGCCTTCTAATTATGTCAGAAATAAGGTGTGGTATGTTTGGGGAGAGATATTGGCCATGTCTTGGAGACAATGTTAGTCAACAAGTTATTATTACGAAGCATACAATATGGAAAACAAGCACATCTTTACATTGCACAGTACAACCGGGATATTATTTCAAATTGTGTCTTATTTAGATTTTAAAGGAAATATTGTTATATTTGTTATTTGGAGCAAAGTTTTTAGTGCAGGACTGGTATCAGTGATGAGGTGTGCATGGAAGCTCCTCTTAAAAGTTACTTTTTATGAAAACCATGATATATTCAACTGAAAGGAATGTAACAGTAGAATATCTATTACCGAAATTGCCAATTAATTCAATCACCGCAACCAAGGAATGTGTCTGCTAAACCAACATCAGTGTTGGACTATTTCAAATAAAGTGTCTGAAAATGTTAATTTATAATTACGTTTATTAACTTTTCATGTTCTACCTGCTTTGAAAGTTTTTTAGTTTTTAATATAACAGTACAGTATATTACAATAATGTATTTTTGTGTGGATAAGAATTTAACCCAATTATCAAAATTTTCTGTTATCCAAACCACCTATGTCACTAACTAATTCAGATAATAAGTGTTCTACTGTACTTCAATTCCAAAACTGAGGTTTTTAAACATTCTGCTTCCCATTACAATAAAATTTCATCACTGATGTGACCAAAAACGAAACAAAATATGGCAGCATACCTGTTCACCCCAATTCTCACCCCAGCTGTTCTTAATAATCCAAAATGGAAGCACTTTTTGAAACAGTGGGTATGCTGAAAGAAAAATATAATTAAGAGAGATAAAAATATATAGTAATTGGTAGTGTTAAAATCTTACCTGTTCCCCCCAAAATGTACCCCAGCTATTTTTAATAATCCAATAAGGAAGAATCCTATGTCGAATTGAAGTTTCTGCAAAAATAAAACCATACATGTCTGAATACTACGCCTTACTTTCCCTACAGCTACCAGTATTCACACTTCACACAAATTCCATAAGCACTGTCACTTTGCTGTCAAACATAAGCTGTAACAAGTAAAAAATATATGTAAATATACTGTGACATGACACCTGAAAGCAGGAATAGTGGAGCCAGAGTAGGCATTCATTGATGACTTGGTAAACAGATTCCTGTAGCAATGAATTAAGCAAACAACAATCAAGGTACTGTTGAGCTATAACAACGGAAAAGGTGTTTTCTGTTGGATCCACCCCAAGACTACATAACTATTATTTTCTATTTAATATTTATCCTAAATTTCCATATGGTTAAATTATGAACCTTATCATGTACTTTATGGTCATGTTTTATAATTTCCATAAGGGTAAAATTTAACCCAAGTGCCTGTATTGCAGGTGCGCTCTGTACTATTCTGCACCATTCTCAAAAGCTCACCTCCTTCTTTCATTAAGATAGTGACAGCAGGGATAGAAATGATGGGTAGATATGGCTAGAAGCTGTCTACTTAGTTCCTGGGCGCTTCATTTTAAGGAATATACTTCCTGTAACTTAAGATGACACAACCATCCATCCCAGCAACAATATAGGTACAAACAAATTCACAAGCCTACACTATAACAGCTTTCTTGTAATATATGATGGGTATTTCTGCGTTTTCTTCTACTAACCTTGAGCATCTACCTAGTTCTGAGAAGCCATTCCCACCCCTGAGTAAGAGACCAAGTTCCATGCTCATTTAAAACAACAGCAAAGAAAATGACCTTATGTTTTCAAATAGGAGATGAGAAGATGAAGTATTAGTTGAAATATAAGGCACTCCATTCAGACAATTTATTGTACCTATATTACGAACCTAACAGAAAATTAATCTGTAAACCAGCCTACTTACTGTGTACACCAAAACCAACAATCAGAACACCATGATCCAAATCTTCCCCATCACACAGGAATTTCCATGGATGTGATATACCACCCATATAGAACTGTAACAAAACAGCATGAATTCAGATATGAATGAAAACAGATAAGCAATTTACACCTCACAAACACTTCACTTGCAACTTATTAACTCCATTAAAACACTATGGCATGTGAGATTGCATGTTCTCAAGGTGGATGCATCTGAAAGACGTTTACCAACAATGCAGAGAAATGTCCCGCCTCAATCTTCAGAACTGAAAAGAGAAGCAAAGCATGTAAGCCCAAGCAGAACAGCTTACAGAGTTACCCTTCTATGTAGAGGCTAGACACCACCAGGATAGTTTATGGTTTGGGGGGGGCACAGATATTTGCTTAAAAACTTATGTTGAGCCACTAATGACTATTGCTACTGATCACTCTAGAATATTCAGTATAGAATAAGTTTTTTTACTACTTTCAGTTTGTGGTATTAATATTCAGCAACTCCTTTTTTTTTTTCTTTTTTCCAGTTTTGATTTTTTCCCAAAAATCCAGGGGGCAGAGATGTCTGGTGTGTCCCTTCCTATCGGAACCCATGCTCTGCTTCCTACTTGCTTGGCTTACTCTTTGATCCTGAAGTTGGAAGTTCTTCCAACACATGGCTAAACTTCTACCAAAGTGCTAGTGCAATTTTAAGAACACAATATTTCAGGGCACCAAATTAATAGTCCTGCACAGAAAAATCATAAAAATGTTCCAAATAAAATGATATAAGAAACAATTACACTAATTATCACCTGCATAGCATTTGCGTTGATACCAATGGAGATGGGTCCATTTTTATACAGCCACTGGGCCATCTGGGTTTCATTCTTGGTGATATTTAAAGCTCCTTGGATGGTAACTTTTGCATCAGTTTTCTTAAAGTGACATTTTTCATCTTCACCTTCATATGGGTAATCCTTTTCTGTTTCTAAGCCCCCCAATGACTCAATAGCTTTATATGCATTCTCTGGAAGACCTCCGCTGCAACCATCATCCAAAGTGTCACAGTCCACTAGCTCTGCAAAGATCATGTTTACACTCAAGATGACACCTCAGACATTTTAAAAATTGTTAATTCAATGTAATATTATGATGTCAAGGATACTAAAACGAATATCCATTACAGAGACCCCATCAAGAAAATTTCATCTACTGTGAGTACTTAACTCCATGGAGCAGTCATTCTTGAGAAGCTTATAGTCACTGACCTAGTAAAGAAATTGACAGCAATTTTTGGAACATGAAGGTTCACCCTGGGTGAAATTCCCTGTGTTCAACCAATTTCTCTTAAGAATTTTAATACTGTCCTACCTTCTATTACTTGGTCTTCAAAGCTTTCATGTTTCCTGGCCAAAACTCTCCATACACCTCACCTCCCACTTTATTTCTCTTAAGGTCCACTTTAATGTTATACTCCAATTTATGTGTAGGTTCTCCAAGCTGTCTCCTCTCTTTGAATTTTTCAATCAAAACTGTGTATGCATTTCACATCCCTTCCATGCATGCTACATGTATGACCTATCTCATGGCTCTCTCAGTGCCTTACATTTTACATTGACATGATGGTGGTTTGTATATTTTAGCTGGAAAAAAGACTTCTAAGGCTGGGGAGGTGCAGCTACTCCTGCATCTACCCAGGAAGAGGGTTAATCAGCTGCTGTCACATTGGGATGCCTGCCTTAGTAACCATGGGGGCTACTTTTAATGGCCTTTATTCCTTTGGAGAGAGTAATCCCTGAACAGGTTTTGAACAAGCCTTATATGTGCAGAGGTGTGAATAACTTAACTTACCTTGCTCTGAGAGTGAGTACAGTTTTCCCTTCTTAAGTGCCCACTGGCCCTCCACATTTCCAGTCACAGAGAATGCCCAACATGAACCACACAAACCCTGTGTAAAGAAAACAAAACATTATTGATTACTAGTGGAAAAAGCCTGTTGAAGTTCAATGGCACTCATTTATTTTGTATCTTCATTCTCTGCCCCATTATTCCTTCCCTTTATCAATTTCATATCTTTATCTCTTTTCCTCCTTTCTCTATTAAACAGTGGATTAAGTTACATCTATATTCTTTGTATGTCACATTTTTGAACAGCAAGATGCCATCTGTATACGTACACGAAAACTGTGTGTGTCCATGGAGAGTGAGAGGGAATGGAAACTAAGATATTATCCCCTAACAGAGATGTGACAGTTCAGTATTTTTCACTGTCTGCTTACTAAAAAACTTCAGAGAAATAGTAGTAGAAGATAAAAATACCTGATTTTTAACTTCTGTAACAACACTGTAATTTCGCCAATCAAATTCCTTTGGCAACGTAACATCAGGAATTTTAGCTTCCTGCAATGGTATGTGGTTGGAAACTTTCAATTTGCGATTAAGTCCAAGATGGTATTTCTTGAATTCCTTTGCTGGAAAGCAAAGATCAATTACAAAGTAAAATATTCAGAACTTTAAAAATCATTAACAGACCAGTTTTTAAAATTATAAATACCAAGCTTCATATCTGTAGAAGACTAGGGACATACAGCAATATTTGAAAGTGGGCATCATGTTCTCATTTTCTCAATAAGATGACAGTCTGGGCATGGTAATGAAGATGAAATTTATGTCTTTGTCCTGTATCTGGCCATGGTTATCAATGAGCTATTCAAACTTCAGGTACTGATGGGAGAAAAAGTAAGTAAAGCTATCCCTGTAACAGGCCATGGAGGCCCAGAGGGTTGTGAGACATTGAGGGCCCCACATTATCTAGACAATTGGCTCAAAGATGGCGATAAGGTTGTCAGCCTATGGGTGGTGGGACTACTTACAGGACACTGTCATCTTAAAGGACACCTCTTCAAACTGGGACTAAGTGATAGTCCCACTTGTGAGAGGTGTCAAGAAGAAAATGAAACAGCCACACATATCCTGTGTGAATGTGAGGCCTTAGCTTATTTAAGATTATGTCACTTGGGTCAATACTTTATGGAACCAAGTGACTATTTCGACGCCCCCACGTACAAAATCCTGCGCTTCATTTGAAGCACAGGATTGCTGAGGGGATAATCAAAAGGGGAAGCACAACAGACCACTGTAGGTCGCGGTGCAAGGGCCAAGAAGCCTACCCCTCATACATTCATTCATTCAAGATTCTCAGCCTTACGTGCCGGCCATGCTTTACTCCCCAGGAAAACTATTTAATTAATTCCTGGTACTCATTTCTGTTAGAGGCTGAGTTCACCACAGGGCCATAGTGTGGCTGGAAGGATTAGGTCAATTGAAAAAAAATGCAATGACCTCATCGGGACTTGAACCTGTGACCTTCCGGCTTCTAGCATACTGCAGCAACCAATTACGCTACGTGCCCCTACTGATGGGAAAACAAAATGAAAATAAAGAAAGGGTTATGATAAAATATGGATTAAAACACCTGTCATATACAGGTATAAAATGTGAATTCTGATGTCTCTGATACCATGAGACAGTATAACTGTGCACACAGTAGCTTCTAGCAGTTACCGTCAATAATTACTTTTTTTTTTTTCATTTCATGCATCCTGTTGTTATAATATACAATTTCTTTATTAAAATCGTGACAACACAACTATATTAAGGTCAGTGGCAAGTTTGGCACTGCTATGTTTTGGCTACCAAAAGCCATCATCAGGCAAATATATGGCCAACATACACACACACCACTGAACTGCAGTACCAGTAACATTGGATACCGCAGGACAGCCCCCTCCCGGAAATTGTCACATGTTGGGTGTTTGACATGTGACAAATAACTTCACGCCATCTTGGGTATAGCGAATTTATTCCGCTCGCTCTCACAATTACACAATTCACAATTACACAGCTACTTCCATCTGCAGTATCAAAAGTGTATCTTCTGCTGTAGTCACTGCCATGCACTTGATACAACCCGACCCAGTGACTGCTAGATTGAAACTGACTGGTTACTCTCTCTCTAGTAACTGGCTGGCGACTTCACGATCCACACTGTGTCACTCCTAATCACACACTGCTCAGCCAGCTTTTTATACCGTTCCCTGTTGCCTCATGTTACCAGCAGTGTCCCCTTGTTATGTCACTGTGGGGGGAGGGGGACGGAATGTTGACTGGTCTGTTACCGTAGCAGCGTAATGATGGAAGGAGTGAGGGTATGTGACATCACTCACAAGACCGCAGAGTTCATGTGACCCTTACTTCCTGTTGTGTCATCCACGTTACATTATTAATTATATTAAAATACTTGGCGTAAAAGTACAATATATTAGACTATATAAAACGAAAGTTATAGTATAAAACAAGATTAAAATTATTCAAGTGATGCTTTATATCATTGAGTCAGTCNGAATCCAAATGTTCAAAAATGTCAACAAGAAGTCAATCTCATGCTATGCTGACTCACTCCAGACTACTGAAACAATTCTAATGTTCTCTCTCCATCTTTGTCTGCGTTCAAATTTGTCACTATTTAAGGAATTTTCCCACAAAAACTGTCTGTGTGTTTCTTGTTTCTCAGTCTACATGTCCAGCCCATTGTGACTTCAACTATCACAATAATACTCAGAGAAGAGTATGAATCACAGAGTTAAAATGTATATTTAAATTAACACTGTTGCCTATTGCTAGAAAGCAATGGACTGTGGAATGAATACTCAGGAAAAGGGTGCTAGTACTGTTGTGATACAGGTGTATTATATATTAAGAAAATAGATTTTATATTACTATATTAAGGATCTTGGTGGTCTTTTGATCATGTATGTAATTTTAAATGTTATTTTGATATATGGAATGTATTGCTGTACAGTAGTTTTGTTGTATTGAGTATTTAAATTTTGACGATGATGACTATCTGCTTATGTATGCATATTTATATGTTATATTGTATTATTGACTTGTTATATATCTGAGGCAGATGCCTCTATGGATTTTTTGGCACTATAAATAAATGAATGAATTATTGTATCCAATTTTACTAGTACTGCAGTTCAGTGGTGTATATATGTTGGCCATGTATTTGCCTGATGACGGCTTTTGGTAGCCGAAACATGTAGCAGAGCCAAACTTTGCAATGACCTTAATATAGTTGTACTGTGACGGTTTTAATAAAGAAATTCAATAGTTACATTAACAAATGTTTGAGTTCAGGTTCTGATAGCAATGACTATGAAGAGTCATCATGTATTGTGGCAGAAGTTGACTTATAGTGTACTACATGGCACAACATCCCAGAAGATATAGTACTCTGATTAATCTGGCTTTTGACAGGTCATCTGACCATGACCATTGTTCAAGATTGTACACAAAATGCACACAATCCTGGATGAACACAGACTACAGAATATAATTCCAAAGTTTGCAAACTATTCCTACTTTTATAAGAAACACCATCATATAAACATTTATATTTCTTTGCAGGTCAGGTCTCAATTTTCAACATAACAATAGAAAAAAAAAGAATGGAAGTTACGTTATGTTACACAAAAGAAAACCACAATTAATGAAACGAATAATGAATTAAAAAAAAAAAGAATCAGCTGAAATAATTTTAGACTGTGGTTTTATTACACTGCGTAGACTAGAAAGTAGTTAGCAATGTTTGAGAGGAAGCCTACTGCCTTCAGCTCCAGGATAGATCACTGTATGCTCCTCCTTAATTCTGGCAACCACCTATGAAAATGTTAACTACAGTTAAAGATACATATATCTGAAAAGATAAGTATACTGAGGATGAAGAGGGTTTTCCAAGGAAATTCAATTATTAAATATTTTAACATAATGCACAGTCATAAAATACTGAATAGGTGAAGAATGTTTGTAGTACAAATGAATGCAAAATAAGAAAAACAAAGTAAACTGAAATAAATTTATAGTTTAGAAAGTTTGCACAATATCCAACATGTATTTCAGAAGCCATAATTACAGGTCTGTACTAACGTGTAAGATCTGCAAACTGCGTTGCCCCATATATGGCAGTGCCCTGTTCGGTCTTTTGCAAACGTTCAACTTTCTTGATGTTCGCTCGAAAAATGTGAAAACGACGTTTATATTCTGCTTTGTTTCGATAATGTTTGTTGTACTTCTCTAAAAATTCATTAAACAAACCAAGGTGAATGTCATGGCTACCACCACCAATCCATGATCTCTGTGAAGGAAAAGAATAATTGTACATTGAGACTGAAACACTTGGCTGCCAAAAAATATGTACTAAATATTTCTTTTCTTATTCTGTCATAGGGAAATCAATACTTACTTTCTTCAGTCTACTCCTCACAGAATTGCATGAGACACTTTTGACTTCACGCTGTTTAAGCCATGGTCGATCCCATACTTCAACATGACATATCTGATTATTCTAAAAGAGTGAGAAACACAGGAAATACAGTCAACACGAATTACACTAAGCTACTATCCACTTACAGGAGTAACCACTACACAATAAAGACTTAAGAACAACAAGATATTCCTATATAATAAATCCCCCCAACCCCCCAAAAAATTCCCAAAATATTCATATATGTAGATATCATGGTTCACTACTAATCTTTGATAAAAATTTGAAAAGTACTGTCTTCTGGGTTATAATACCATATGGTTGAGACTACCTCATATTTTGGAGTAATAGATCACCTCCATCCTCAGGACCAAAGAGTAAGATATGCAGACTCAGCAGAAGAAGGTGCAAGCTTGCTCTCTCACATTGTCTCTGCACCATATGGAATTATAATAAGGAAGGGCATATTTGTTGTCATGAGAATCTTATCTCCAACACTGCTAATACTCTTTGCTCACAGTTCTAGACTCTTATGTAAAAACCTTTTGGAAATGGATATTATTTCCATCCTCTAGTGGACAGGATGTGAAGAAATCCCACCATACAGTTTCATATATATACAGTAAACCTTTGTTATAACAGAGCTGGATATAACAGACACAATCTGGCTGTGTACAGATGTGAATTTTCTGAGCTATTCAAGCACTAAAAAGGTTTTGTAATTAGGAAACCATTTAAAATAAAAGAACCAAAATATAAAAACCTTTATGTGATCACAATGTTTGTGTGTTTCCATGTTCATTGCGTGTATTGGCTATGTAGCCTATGGTGTACTTCTGTGAATTCCCCTTCGCTCGGTGAGAGCAGACATCGGCGATAACATCCTGTCCCTCCTATTAGTCCATTATAATAAGGGTTCACTGTATAGATAACATTTTGGAGGAAGCTGCGGCTTCAGTCTTCTGGGAAGAACTGAAGACAAAGCACATACAGTAAGCAGTCTGCTTCACACTCTAGCTGCTTTACCCTGAGAAAAAAATCCAACTCAAAAACACAACAAGCAAATTAAGAGCAAGGAGATGTGGAATGAGGCTGTGTCATATAACCAAAACACCAGCATACACATCATCATTACCGAATCATTCTTCAGCTGGCAAGTAGCAATATCTGTATCATGGCCTTTACGACAAGTACTGGATCCCAGTTCCAAAGTTAAACGCACCAATACTCCAGCAACAACCTGGGAAAATATAAATAAGTGCTTAACACATTCACTATCCCTAGTGCAAGAGATGCAAAGGAAATTTAATTTCTACATAGTAATGAGGAGAAAACAAGGTGGGACAGGATTATAAACAAAATTTTTAGAGAAACTGAAATCCAAAATTTGTTAACCTTTAACGGACGGACTTTTAAATTGCCGGGAGCCCTCTGTGGCTGGTGTTTAAATCGCCCTAATTAATCAACATTGCAAACTTTCAGAAAACAATAGCCCTAATTAATCAACATTGCAAACTTTCAGAAAACAATACATATTTTCCGTTCTATGTAACATAGAAATACAAACTAAAAACAACCTTAAAGACAATAAAATTTTCTACATATACACAAAAAATGATATGCAAAGAAATATATGACAGTCTGACAGACTTTTTAACTGATAATTCGTTACTGAAAACCAATCCTTGAATGTGTCACACTTCCTTGAAGGCTCTGGAAGCACTCATATGCAAGCACCGATGAATATTTCCTCATCAGTTCTTGAAACAAAGCTGGGCTATATTTGGCTGACCAGGTCATAAACAGTCATATCTAAAGGTAAATAGTATCGAAACCAGTACCGGGATAAACGATTTCATTGTTCACAGCTAAGGAATGAACCACTGACATGACCTTACGTAGGTTTGTTTTGGTTTCAAACCCATGGTCAAACTGTCAGCATTCCCAAAGAGTGCACACGCGCGGGCGCTCGCACGCACACACACATATAACACTCGGTCAACTCGGGGTGCTGCTTGCGTCATATATATATATATATATAACATTTGGTCATTAAAGGTTAATAGGGTTAGAAGAGTATAGTGGTTTGGCCAAGTAAAGAGAATGGAAAGAAGGGTCTGAAGAAGATAATTAGAATCAAATTCTAAGGAACAATGGCTGCGCCATAGCTCAAGCGCTTAGTCGCTGGCTTCCCACCATGGTGACCTGCGTTTAGTCCTGGGATCAAGTGGGATTTGTGGTGGACAAAGTGGCGCTTGGGCAGGTTTTCTCAGAGTACTTCGGTTTCCCCTGCCAATCTTCATTCCACCAATTGCTCCACAATCACCCTCACCTATCATCTGGGGCCGGTACAATAGGCTAGAAGTTGCCACAGTACAAGGGACTTAGTCCCACCCCACTAGCAATAAAGAAAAAGGGGGCGGGGGGAACAAGACCTTGTGATGGCCCAAGAAAATATGATTTGGTCAGGCACTGGAAGATGTTACTGGCCTGTATAAAATGGAAAAGAAACAGGGGAAACAAACTTACAAGTTTCCATAGCATTATCGGTGTTGTTTACTCACGGTAAATCTAATTACTAGTTAATACTTTTAGAGTCTGGTGATAGTATAAAAACCTATTTTCATTTATTTGAGATACATGTGAGCAGCTGATAGCTCTATACAAGGTTGACATGTTAGGCCCTATAGCACAACACTGCCTCAAAAGGCAGTCAAAGAAGACACAAATTTAAAAAATAAGACTGTTTCACTTCTGTGAATATAAGGATGGCTAGGAAAGCATGTTTATTCAAACAAAGAATAATGTTTCACAAGATATCACAGTCCATAAACATCCAGCAACATGACTTTGAGCAAATTATACTAAATAGGTCACACATGACATTGGTTTGGACAGGCAGGCAAGCATAAAGCTATCCTGGTATGACTATGCTATCACTTATTACCTACTGTCAGAAGAGGAACATTAAATCACTACATCCATCTTAATTAGTTACTATAGGATTCTGACGATGGTGTATAACACACTGATATATTGGGTTTTCGGACTTTATCCATCGTCCTGGTTTTTAAGATAACTAATAAAAACACCGACGTTTCAGAAACTGGATCTGGCGAGCTCTTTCTAACGGACCCAACAGAATAGGTGTTTTCCTTCACCTGAGGACGGAAACAGATCCAGTTTTCGAAACGTCATGTTTTTATTAGTTATCTTAAAAACCAGGACGATGGATAAAGTCCGAAAACCCAATATATCAGTATCCATCTTAATGATTATAAGTCATTTGCTTATATATTCTGAAGGGCTCCACATTAAGAACAAAAGTTAACTTACCTGCTTTTCTGCCTCCACAATCCTAACAACTTTCTGTTTGTAAAGTGCGTTAGATCTTCTGTCAACTTCAGCTAAAGCAGTGCTCGCTATATCTTGAATGTAAGGATCACTGACATCAGCTTCAGTTGGTGCTCCTACCAGAACATCAGTATGCTTTTTTGCTTTATTTGGTGATAATTCCTGAAAAAGGTATGTCACATGAGTTCTTGAAATGAACCAAGAAACAGATTATATGATTATCATATTGAGCACTGTCTGAGAGACATATGATACATAGATCATTTTGGAAACTGGATAAATTTGTGTCACCAAGTGTAACTGGGGAAGGCATCATATTTAGTTAGGCCAGTTATAAAGAGCTATTTGTTGCAACAGGATCATGAGTCATTTATCATATTCTGCAATGTCAAAAACATCAGCTGATAAGATACATATAGCTTATGGCAATAAACACATACTATTTAAAAGAAGAAATACAGCTTTCATGACACACTCATACTGGAGACTACAGTAGAGCACAAATTT